AGGCAGGAATAGAGGAGCCCATTTTTCCTGCATCCAGAAGCCTCAAGTTCTCCAGCTACAAACTCAGAAGGTCTCTGCTGCTGCCAGACCTCCCAGCTTCTGAAAGGCCTCACTGGAAACAAAACAGCTATTAAAGATTTTAAAAATAGCAGGACAAAGCCTCTTGAAGCAGCTGGGAGGAAAGCAAAGACAATGGCATCTGCTCCAAGGAATTTCTCTCACCCAAAAAGCTGAGAGGAAGCAGATTGTTTTCCCTTTAAATGGGCCTAAAGCATTGAGGACAACTGAGTTTAATCCTTGCTCCTGCATCCTCCTCAGTTTGGGAATTCTGTTTGAAAAGGGAAAAAGGAATTCCAATTGGTCCACGTGCAGACCTGCAGAACGTTCTGGGAGAACTGGGGTGTTTAAAAAGGCCTCTGGAGAACTGAGAGGCTGCAGAACTGGGCTTGGTTTAGCCACAGACTTGTGGCCCACGGCACCTCTGCCCCTACTGAAGGACGGACATGGAGTGTCTGCTCTGAATCCAGTCAGGAATAACAAATCCTGCTCTTTTGGAGGGAAAATCTACCTACAAACTGCCTCTGAAACAGAACATTCGTTAGTGAACACAACTTTTAACAGTACATTTGATAGAGAAACACCAGCCCCACCAGCCGCAGCCAACCGTGGAGACTCCTACTTCCAGAAACACCCAGAAAATGCTCCTGGTTTCTTGAGTTCTGGGGACTTTCCCCCAATGAATTATTTGATCAAAATATTCACTTCTAACCCAATTTTTTAAGACATCTCTCAGTACAAACTGCTTCCTGCAACAGAACTGGAGCATTATGGCCTGGAACTGGATGGTCTTTAAAGTCCCTTCAAACCCAAACCATTCCATGATTCTATGATTGAGCTGGAAAGCACAACCCAGGACAAGGGCCAGTGTCCAAAGCAGCACAAATCCTGGTTTTTTTAGGGGAAAAAAAAAAATCAAAGTGACAAACCACACTTAAATCTCTCAGCACTGAGCCTGGCACAAGTTACACCTGAAAAATTGATGTTAAAACAGGAGTCGAGCTGAAAAACGGGGTTTGCTGTGTGGACTCTGTGGAAGGGGTGAGGCTCTCCAGCCTGTGGAATTCTCCTGGCTCTGGGATTGGTGTGGCAGTCCGGCCGCTTCGAGGAACTTACCCAGGGTCTGTAGGATTATGCTCTCTAGAATGACCAGGTCTTGGGCTTGTTGCAGGTAAGCCTGGGGTTGAGAGGACAGGCAGGTTACTCATGGAGAGGCACTCGGATCAAGCCTGCACATTCCTAACACCCTTCTCTCCAGGGCAAAAATGGGAATCTCCCTGCACGGGGGGACTGGCACAGATTCCCTGGAAATGTTTGAGGCCAGGCTGGATGGAGCTCAGAGCAAGCTGGGCGAGTGGAAAATGACCCTGCCCGTGGCAGGTGGGTGGAATGGGATGGGATTTAAGGTCCTTCCAACCCAAACCATCTGGAGATTCTAAGACAGAGGGATCAGAGTGTTTGGGTGGGCCCTGGGTGCTGGTCCCCCACACTCCTAGGGTAGCACACGAGCAGTGCAGGAATCACCCGCTTTTCCTGCTGTTTTTTAATTTTCTGTAGGATTCCCTGGAAAAAGCTGCCCCTTCCAGCAGGACTCGCTGCTCAGCTGCAAGTAAAAGGGGCTGTCTGAAGAGATGAGGGCTCAGCAACGTTTTTAACCCACTGAGACAGATGCTGGGACAAACTGCTCCCACAGTGGAGCTCCTCTGCTCCACACCCTCCTGGGCAGTGCTCCAGGGACACAGGCAAACAGCACATCTGCATCCAGGTGTGCAGCAGAGAAGAGGCTTTGCACACAAGGGGGGAAGCCCAAATCTCTCTGCTGCAGGAGAAGCTGGATGGAGAAGCTGCCCCTGAGCACCCCGGGAGGGTGGATCCCAGGTGCCATTCCTGCTCCTCGGGCCTCCAGCGCTTACAGCACACCCTGAGGCTCCCTCCCCACATTTACCTCACTCTTGGTGTCCAGCAGAGGCTCCTGGGGGTGCAGACAGGCATGTGCCACCTTGATGACGTGCTCCAGCTTCCGAGGCTGCTCTTCCACCTTGGCTGCCAGGAAAAGCGCTGCTGGCACCACCGACTGTGGAGGAAAACACTCTGTTTGCTTAAAAAGCCACTAAATTCAAGATTAAAACAAACAAACCAGGTGGATTCTCAATATTCCTTCAGGGAATGAAGGCTGTTCAAATCTGGCCACCACCAGGAGAGACAAAAGGGTCCCTCTCCCTTCCCAAACCTCTTCCCAAGGTGGGTCCCCCTCCCAGGCAGCAGCAGGAGTGGGTCTGGGGGTTCCCAGCACCCCACCGCACCCCAAATCCCAGCACTTACATTCCTGTGGAACTGGGTGAAGGACTGCACCATGTAGAAGCGGTGCATGTACACGATGGCTGTGTTGATGGTGAGCTGGGAGCTGGGAACGGGGTTAAGGAAAGGCACAGAGACCCCCAGACAGGCCCAGGGGAGCCACTGGGACAGACCCCACATGCCAACAGCACCAGGACAGGACAGGCCCTCCCTGCACCCCAGCACAGCTCTCCTCAAGCCCAAAACAGGCTCACCGCGCTCCACAACCCAGCTGAGCCTTCACAACATGCCAGGAGAGCTCTCGCTGCTCCCAAAATGGGATCTCCTCGACCCCAAACAGGCTCTGCTCTCCCTGCTCCCCAGACGAGCCTTCCTGACAACCTGGCACGGCTCTCCTTGGTCCCAAAATCCTTTTTGGGATCTCCTTGGTCCTAAAACAGGCTCGGCTTTCCTGGCCACTTGTGGGACGAGCATTCACAACACCCCAGCACAGCTTTTCCCACTCCCTCGTTTTGGGATTTCCTCAATCCTAAAAGAGGCTAGGCTCTCCCCACTCCTAGGCCGGGGCTTCCCGACTCACCAGCACAGCTTTCCCTGCCCGTGAAACGGGATCTCCACCACCTCGAAACGGGCTCGACTCTCCCCGCTCCCAGAATCTCCTCGATCCCAACGCGGGCACGGCTCACCCGGACGGGCCTGCCGCTCCCTTCCAAGCACCCCGGCACAGCTCTCCCCTCTCCCGGGCCGGCCAGGCCTGCCCGAGCCTCTCCAACACGCCAGCACAGCTTTCCCTGCGCCCGAAACGCCATTTCCCGAGCCAAAAACGGGAAAAGCGGCTTTTCCCCGCCCCGAGAGCCGGGCCGGGCCTTCCCGACACCCCAGCAGCGATCTCCCCGAGCCGGGGCCGCGCTCTCCTCGATCCTCACAAGACCCGGCCCTCCCCTCACCCCCTCCCGGCTCCCTCCACTCCCGGGTCTCTCCTCACCCCCTCCCGGCTCTCCCTCACTCCCTCCCGGCTCTTCCCACTCCCGGTTCTCCCCTCACCCCCTCCCGGCTCTCCCTCACTCCCTCCCGTCTCTCCCCGCCCCGCCCCGCTCCCACCCGCGGCCTAGCGCGGCCTAGCGCGGGCCGGATACACGTTGAGGCGCTGCCCCATGTCTTGCAGCAGGTTGGCCGCCTGCTGCCGGTACGAGAGCTCCTTGTCGGGGTCGAGGCCGGCGCGGCGGGATGGGCTCCGCTCCAGCTGCTCGCGGCTGAAGTACCAGCGCCGCCCGGGCCCGGCGCCGCCGCCGCCGCCCGCCGAGGCCTCCATGGCGGCTCTGCGCCCGCGCGGGGGACGCGGCGTGCGCACGCAGCGCGGCGACGCGATGACGTCAAGCGGCGGGTGGGCGGGCGCGGGGGGGAGCCGTTGGCGGCGCGAGCGTTCCAAAGCAGGGAGGGACGTTGGAGGGGCGGGGCCTGAGAGAGCCCACGCCCCTCATTGGTTGACCACGCCCCTCGCGGAATGGTCACGCCCCTCACGGCTGGCCCCGCCCCGCCCCGCCGCGCTTCCCCTCACGCCGTGAGGGGCTCCGGTTTTTCGGGGGGTCCCGCAACGCCCCCGCACCTTAGGGCGGCCCCTGTGGCCCCACCGCCAGCTCCTCGGCTCCCTCTTCTACGCACTGACACCCGAGGAACCCCGGCATACCGGTGTGGCACTCCACCCTCCTCACCGGCACCTCAATGGACCCCTCCGGTATGTCCCCCCCACCCCCGCCACTCCCCCGGGATCACGGAGCAGCGGGATCCCCCCACCCCTCCAAGATCCGGTTTTCCCGGGGTCCCGCAGCCCCCCGCACCCCAAGACATTGCCTGTACTCCCCCCTCAACCGATTTTCCACCCTCTTTCCCTTGCCGGGACCCTCCCCTCCCCACCGGGACTCCGCTGTGTCGCCCACCGGGACCCCTCCTCACTGGGTCTCGGTGTTTTCCCCTCTTAGGATCCCGGGCCCCCTCCCAACCGGCAGCCCCGTGTGCCCCCCTGCCCCACAAGCCAGGCCACAGCTCGTATCCAAAGTGTTTTATATATAATTTATCTGTACACACGAAGGACAAAGTACCTCAGGTCTGTGCTGGGATGAGGGGGCGAG